CGTGCTCCTCTGAAGGGGCCTTACAGCTGTACGATCCCAATTAGCCTATCTTAAGCCAGAGTAGGCTTACATGAAATCTACGTACCATCTACAAAATCCCACGGGTGAAATCAGCGTATCTGTAGCTGCTGAATTAGTTAAAGTTGCCTATTGTCTGAAATCCCTGCATATTTCCTAAAAAATTTCCCGCTTATAATTTTTGTTTTTGGAATTTTCTAATGGAAGGGGTACTGTTGAAGTATCTTACAAGGGAGGTCTTTCAGGACATGGAGCGCTTTTTCGAAATGGTTTTCTGCATGTTGTAGGGGCTCATGCGAGGAACACAGAACCATGATCCATTTTTCCTGAACGCCTCCAGGAATGTCAAAACAGTGGTGAAGAAATGGTCAGAGTTCGATCCCCGGTGATGACTAATTTTTGCAATAGTTTGGCGCCCCCAGATTGCCGCCAAATGGCCATCGTCGAGAATAGATGTCATTGTCGTGTTTTGCGGCAATTTGGAGGCGCCAACATAAATTGCAAAAATTTGTCATCACGGAGGATCGAACTTTGGACCATTTCTTCCCGCTGTTTTGACGTTCAGGAAAAATGGACCATGGTTCTGTGTTCCTCACATGAGCCTCTACAACATTCAGAAAACTATTTGAAGAAGGCGCTCTATATCCTAAAAGACCCCCCCCCCTTGTTGATTGCTGACAGTACCTTGCCAACAGCCTTGACCACTGTTTCCAGCGATTCTGCTGGCCTTAGTAGCACTCAGGAGAGCATAGTGCACAGTGGTTGGGAACTTGTTGTGTCAAGTGCAAAGCCACAGACGTCACTGACATACTCCTGAGTTCATAGTAGCGCGTAGTACAATATTTCGTCACATTGCTTTCCTTCGATGCTTTCATAAAATGGCATCAACGCAATGACGACAGCATGACGCGCATGCGCGTCAGATTTTCACGACTTCAAAAATGTCTGTACATATATACTATCTTATCCAGAAATCAGTGCACCAATTACTAGTAGTGTAATTATTAAAAGAGTAACGAAGATTCTGAAAAAATCAACGAAAGAATGCCGAATCGCACGCACAACGGGCTGTCGTCAGTGTGTAGAGAAACTCAACCTTGTGGGCTCATTTGTTAGGGACTTCTTTTCGTTACCCTTCTTCTGCCGCTGTTCACGCTTGATGCATGTGGGAATGACTTTCTTCGAGCTTTTTTCCATTTTGGTTTTTTTTGTGTTTTTCGTCTATGATGAAGCCTCTGGTATTTTTTATTCGGCCAGAAGTTAGAGAAGATATTCCGATCGATCGTCGATTCGTTCGGAACTACATACTTGTTTGTATATATAACTTTGTTATGGTTACTTGCTTCACGTCTACCGAAAGTTGGTTGTTTTCATGCTCTGTTTGTCGTGAGATTTTATAGTTGCATAGCGTTTGTTTACTTATTTTTTCCTCGAAATATCTTCGTAGCCATTATATGGTTAGGTTTTTTTCAGACTTCTCATCGTTGTTATGTTTGATTTTCCATGTTTATCAAAGTTGTTGTTGCTGTTCATGTGAACAAAGATCTTTCCACGAGAATGACTGCTGAATGTGTTCTCAATACGGCATTCACAACCTATGATTCTTTTTGAACATTGCCCCTTTTCATTTTTCACGCATATGTATTTTTTATTGTATTTTTTGGCAGGGTGCTCATGTCCAAATATCTATACAAGCAGTATGTACGGTTAGTCACGAAATGGCCAAAGGACGAGTTTAAGAGCCCAGAAAGGTAAGAGTTTTCATGGAGAAATAACTTTGGTTAGCTGATTTGCGATTCTCTACAGTTGGCAGATGAGGTAGAAATGAATCGGTGATGCATTCTATTTGCACAGGAAACCCGCCAGGCCATTCGAAAGTTCCATCCCTTCAAGGTCGGGTTATTATTGACACCAAGTTCGTTTACAAGGGTGTAATCAATGGCATATATTGCCTGTACTCCGTAAGTAAAAGCGTGGGGAACCATTCATATCTACCCACGATACCAGTTCAGGTCGAGTACGCGTGGCACATTCTCGTGCGGTTTTTGTTCGCGATATATAATTATTGAAATTCTTTCAGAGATCTGGCAGTGTTTCTTGGTAGAGAAGTGGAACGTCATTTCAAAACCGAATCGGCCAGCCTTGACATGGCTATGTGAGAGGCGATATCGAGGTGAGGATCGCATTGTTTTGGTGGAACTGCCTAGTTGTAGCCGTGTTTGTAGCATAATCAGAGAGACAGCGGCTAGCATAGCGGTGAGGGTGTTTCCCTGTCCCTTCCACTTTCATAGTTGGAATTCTTTTCGTAATCTACCGCTGTTGCGCACCAGCGACCTCTACCATTCGACCATAAGGGCACTTTCGCAGGGGGGGGGCGGGTCGGCGGATTTATTTTGTGTTTCATGAGTGCACATAGCAAGTGCGAGAGAAAGATGTTCACAGTCAACCTACTGTAACGCCGTCGTCTTTTTCTCCGAGGCCGATCACTTGCTAACTATCGTTTCTGAATCTAATAACGGTGAAATCGTGGGAGGCTTACTCATGATATGTACCATACGTCAGTATACTGCTTTCGTGAATACTTCCTTTCCTACTTTCTGAACTTCTTCATCACAAGCATGATTCCTGTGGCATGGCGTCTGCTCAAAAGGGCTGAGGGCTGATTTCAGGCTTAAATCGGCCTGGAACTTGGAAAGATTGGAAAGAAAAAGTTACTCAGGCTGCTGTACTCATTGTAGTGACTATGAGTACATGAAGGAGCGATCAAGCCAAAGGTCGCAAAACAAGGATAATATCCGCTTCAGAATTAGAGAAAGTCAAGAATATCCCATCAAGAAATCTTGAGCAGGTGGTACTAACCATAAGCGAAATCTTGCATTACGGTAGTCCGTTCTGGTTCTGGTTTAGGTGACGATTTAACATTTGACCCCGCTCATGATAAGTGGGATTCTATTTATGCTATACCAAATCTTTATGCCTCCTAGTATTTTCCGATTAGTATCGCACTCCTCTGAAAGGATGAGAGCGAAGCTTATTCACGCACGCTGAGTTGTCGATTCTGAATAAGGGTCGGACAAGTAACTTTTAATGGCTGAAATTATGATAGCCCATTACAAATTAAGCTGGCGGTCAGTGATGGCGGTATGAGGAAAAGCAAGAAAAACGGCCAAAAATCCGAGAAATGAGAGTAAAACGGCCAGTACCAGCGGCTCCAGTTCAACGGCGGGGGGGGGGATGGTCGACGGACTACTTGAACTCGGTCCTTTAAGCTGCCTCACTCGACGCTTTCGTCTGCGCTCTCTCGCCTTATCAGCGGCTCATGACCACTGTGATCTCACACATTCAAACTTTTGCCACACTGTAGTTGGCTCACCCACCTCGGAGTCCTCCCCCTTACAAGGCTTAGTCCTAGGGCTCTCACCTCCCTCCTTGGGATTTGGAGCCGAGCCAGGCGCCGTTCTCTAATCTCTGCCATTCGTGGTAGGACCATAGAAGAAAGTTCAAGTAGTCCGTAAACCCGAGGGAGGGGTGACCAGTCGTGGGGCGTATAGCGTCGCGAGCATCCGCCAGTACGGACCTGCTCGGGCCGTTAGGGGCATACGGTTCGCCGTGAATCATCATCGGG